ACGGAGATGTCTCTGCGTTCTTGACTTTTTTATGCCTTGTATTTTTTATAGAGGCAAAAATTTCATCTTGCGTGAAGTAGTAAAGCTTTGACATGTTGACTGGCGACGCAATTGAATGGCAAGAAGACTGTCACACAATTCAAGGATAACAAAGCACGAGTCCGAATTGAAAGTACGAGCGCGATAATTCGAATTCTCTTTACCTTGATGTACTTAAATGAAGGGAATAATGCGACAGACAAATACGTTTAAAAAGATAAGTTGCAGGTCCTGAATTTTCCGGCCCGCAATCAACTGGTACCAATAAGTACCAGCATATATCCCACGTGTTACAAGAGTTAAACTAGTTACCAGTTTGTCTTAACGCTAAACTTCGTGACAGTGCCGCGGCTTTCAAGTGTTTAAAGGGCCTTAATTATGCCGAATAGAACACCGTGCCGAAAAGAGCACGCCGCACAAATTATGAATGATTTTTGCAGATGACGACGGGTGGTTACTCAATAGTTCCTACGCAAAATACGGGCTCGTCGAACTGCTTCGCCGTTAGTTTCAATTTTCAGCAGTTATGAAGTGTTACCTTTGACCAATGTATTCACTGCGGCAGGAATATCAAAGCAGCCAGTGATTGCGTTCACGTCATGTCAAACTGGGTAAACTTTTAACAGCAGCAGCAGCTGTAGACGTGCAACTCTCGTATTACAACCGTGACAGATCGTTATGGAAAGGAGCCATATTCCCGTGTCGAATCTTCCCAGACGGAATTAGCGTTTTAAAATGAAGGAGAAAAAATCCTCAATTCTTCTGTATGTGCTGAATAGACTGCAAGATTTGGAGCGTTAGACTTACTTGTTTCGGCGCGACACTCTATTCGGCATTTTACAGGCCTCACCCCCTCATACGTGGATGAAATGTTTTTCAAAAGATCAGACACTTACTCCGCTATAGTACGAAAAAAAAAAAGTCTAACTATAGATCCCATGTCAAGGAAGGGTAGGGATTGGGCAGAGAGGTGCACAAAAATTGCGGCAGGTCGTAGTCATTCTAGACTACTGAGTGCATCTGTTTCGTGTAAACCCCTACCAGCTCAACTTTTTTTCTACCATAGGCTGCAGCCTTTCACGCGCAATCTGTAAAACTATTCCAGAGTAGAGTTGAAAGATAAACTTTATTGTCCAATAAACATATTTGTGATGGATATATATGACTTATGAAGGATATAACCTTTTCTGAAAGAGGGCAGAACGTAACTAATGCGTGAAGTGACAAGGGCAGCTAAGTATCACCAACAAGCTACGTACTCTTAGCGAGATGAAAAGAACAATTCAGTTAGTCACCTGGGCGGCTATATCAGATTTGAGAGGCTATTATAATTAACTGATAATGTTAGGCAATAATATTTAGCTTTTGAAATAGCTAAGCCTATGATGTATACACTTATCATAGCTGACCTTTCAGAAATATATCGCTCCAAACGTTGAATGCAAGATATCAACTTGAATTGCCTGCATTACGTAGATTGTACATTTTTATGTTTTTTTTTCATTCGGCTTCGTTGTATAATTCTTTCATTTGGATATCTGCTTAAATATTCATCCATTTATTGATACATGATCATTGATGTTTTGAGTTACAATGTTAAATCATTGGTTTTTAACAGATTAGGAAAAATTCTGAAAATGGTGAGCGTTGCATGGTGTCAGCGATATTTTATAGGCAATGATATCACTTGCTAAATATATATTAAACATATACCTAAAATTTTGTTTTAGATTTTATGTGAGTTTTTAATTGCTAAATCTCGAGTAGCAGCGCAAGTAACTTCTATCTCAAGATATTTATAGATTTATCAGTTACTGCAACTGTACCATTTGACCAGTATACAACAACACACAGTCATCCTTTTACGGCCTAAAAGTGTCAAACGATTTAGGATTTAGGATTTAAAGTATTTTCATTTAGCAAACATGTTACTACCATTGGCACTCTTTGGGTTATTGCTTTGAATATGATATTCCTTGCAAAGTAGAAGGAAGACACAAGAATAATCGCTGGTTTTCTTGATGGGATTATTGATTACTTTACTCGCCGGCAAAATCGACTAGATCGGTCTTTCAAAGAGTCGCTCTCAACTACTTAGTTCTACAACTAACAGAGACTTTCAGTCATGAGAAACACGATTTAACATTCATTTATCATCAAAACAGCGATGAAAAAACCTTCCCTTCCTACACAGGAAGTTTCGTTATCATTTTCTTGTAGTGGTATTTAAGTTGTTCATATGGAATACGCCGCAATTGATGGTTGATTTGTTTCAGGCGGTTTCTGAGCCATAATTCTCTTCCTTCTTGAATCATTTCTTCATTTAGCTCATATTCTAATTTTATTTTTTCATTTTTAAGCTGTTGTTCCCAATTTTCAGGGATTAGTTTTAAACTATTCAACCCGCTTTCAGATACTGGGCTACTACAATTGACAGAGGCTCTCACTCATAAGAAACACGATTAAATATTCATTTATCATCAAAACCGTGATCAGCAAACACCCCTTTTAACTGAATTTCTTCTATTTTACGTACCATTTTGTTGTAGTGGTCTTTTAATTGTTCTAATGGTAACTGATTCAATTGTTTGTCAATTTGTTCCAGGCGTTTTTTGAACTGGTTGTGCGGTTCTCTGTTTTTTTCGATCTTTTTAGCTCTTTTAGAAGGTATTTTGCCCGAATATAGCTTATGTTTGTTATTTTGTTTCAGGCGGTTTTTGAGCATGATTCGGGTTTTTTTTTTCTTTATAATCATTTTATTTATTCTAAAAGGTATTTTGCGTACCTTTAGCTTACTTTTTATTTTTATTTTGTCCTCTAGAAGCTGTTTTTTCCAATTTTCAGGGGTTAGTTTCAAACTATTCAACCCGCTATCAGATAATGACCAGTCTATAGTGCCACGCTCATTGCTCCACAAAAACTGATTGGCACCATTAAAGTAGTTGCCACCAAAAAACGAATCTCCATGTTTGGCGATGCCCGTAGGTGAAGGGTGCCCTCCTTCAATTATAAGGTGCTTTTTATTTATACACTTTGAGAACTTTTTAGCCTCTTCCCCCCACAATAGCCAAACAGAAGGACCCGCTGTCTTACCCGCAATATACTTGGTCAGGGATATGGTGAAATCTTTCCATATTTCTGAGTGACTTCCATACTTATACATATCCTTTTTATCTGCTTTCTTCGGAGGCTTGTGTGGACATGTAAGAGCCGTGTTAAGCAGAAGGACGCCTTGCCTTGCCCATTCCATAACATTACCTTCATCAAGGTCCACAGGGAAACCTTCAAAGGCGACTTCTAAAAACATATGCAGTACCGCTGGAACAAAACGGGGTTTTTTCACGTGAAATGCCACACCAGTAGCCTTGCCTTTTTGCGGAGTTGGATCCTGGCCTAAAATCACCACTCTCACATCCCCTGGTTTCACCAGCTCCAAGGCCTTAAACAAAAATGGCATTTTTGGTTCAATGGCGTCTTCCAGTTGTTCTCCTTTCTTGATAAGATCGTCTGCCAAACGTTTCAAAACGGAGACGCCGCTGAGGTATTTTTTTTTTTGCAGCTCTTCGAAAAAAGGTTTCCATGGCTCCGGAATACATTTTTTTTAAATATCCATGTTGGTCTATTTTGTTTTCACTGTACTTGACGTTATCACACCTTGTCGATTTGACTAAACAATCTAAGGAAAAGGAAGGAATAAAAATGAATAACTGAGTGAATAAAAAAAAAATTTTTTTTTAACTTTACGTAAATTTTCCTGCCAATGTCTGTATCGAAAAATGAATAGTGAAAAAATAGGTCACCGAGCTTGTTTAAGAGATATGATGGGCTAAAATTACCTCGTTTATGTCTGTACTGGCGCTAATCGCGCCACTTCATCGCTTCACGGTACATTTTGCGGTAGCTGGAAGCTAGGGTTTTATAGTAACACTTGATGAAAAAAAACTTAATAGCTTAAAAGTCTCGAGTGTATGGAGCAATTGGGTATATAATTTGAGGAAATATCACGCAATTTTAAAAGAAATCCATTTAAAACGTTCCTCGACTCATTGCTTGTAAGGTCATAATTTGTATCCTCGAGTAACGCGCTTTGACCATACTGTTAGCTGCATCTTTCTTTCCCCTCGATGTTTTTTTCTTCAGTTTAATAAAATAATAATTTTCTCCAATTTAAAGGGGATAATTTGTACACTAGAATTATGCAATATGTTGATTGTCGTGCTCGTTCAAAAACTTAAGACTATCATACCTTTTAAAAGGTGTAGTGATTGAAAAACAATACCGCGTTCTCGGAATGCGCGCGCTTTTTCGCCTGATTACGAGATTTATATGCGCAGTATGGGATGCGCAGTGTAATACTGAGGAATCACCTAAAGTCATGATTAAAAATAAAATTTGCAGTAACATGTAATGTAAAAATAAACGAACATGGTTTTATTCGAGTACAGTGGAAGCACCCATAGGCGAAGCAAAGAAAAAGAAAATGATAGGCAAAAATTTGGCCATATGGTAAATCGAAATTTATACAACTTAAAGTTCATGACTTCCTTTTTGTGCTTTAATCTGTATAGCGGGATTTTGAACTTAAAGTAACTTCCTTCGCACCATTTGAGAAGTTGGGGAGTAAGCTGTCAAACGGTTAGCGCAGAAGATTAAATGAAGAAAGAGGAAAAGTAGGTCTAGCTACTTCTTTTCGCTCAAGATATGTTGAAAAGAAAGGCAGAAAGAAAGAAAGAAAGATGTAGAGGTTCATGGGGAACAGAAATTTACCTGAGTTTCTGGAGCCCGCAGCAACAAGTCTCTCTAAGACACCGCCTAACGAATTCGAGGACTGAAATAACCAAATCTGTGTTTACTTCAAGCTTTATCCTTCACTGAGTAATGTTTAATTGTGGTAGCATGATCACATTCCCTTATTAAAAATGGAAGACACAAATTTCTTGCTTGTAGATGCATTAAGTTCTGTTCCAAAATTTTAGATGTCTAATGGGATCTTGCTTGTACCCGTTGATGACGCAAGTAAGTTAATATTCGTGAATGAAATATGAACAGAAATTGCATCAGAAATGTGCTAAAAAAGAATCCAGTTTTCGAACTGAGATGGAAATCATTCGTCTTATCGGGAGTGTTGGATAAAAGAAAATTGGATCCTCGAATTATCTAGTTATGTGTCTGTTAAATACTTAGCGCTTAAAGGATCATGAAAGCAAATGTGGAGAACAGCGCGAGATTGGTTTTTAAGCGTAACAAATATAGCAACAAAACACCCGCCATTTTCCGCAACAGAAAGATCAATTATTGACACAAAGTTCAAAGTTGTTTCCTTTCCATGGTTAAAAGACCTGATTAGTGGAGGATGATCAAAGAGCTTGAGAACAGCTCTCATCCTATAGGGTTAAAAGTCGAGGACAAGCAATGAAGTCACAGAAACACATAAAGTCAAATATAAATTTTTTTACGGTGAGATAGATGCTGAGTGAAATCGTTTTCCTACAATCTCGACGGGAACTTCATAGGAAGGTTTTTATCGTACGCGAGGAGAAGGCCATAGGATAAACGTGTGTGAGGAGAAGAAAAAATATCATTCAATTTATCCTCGCCTTTTGAAAGTTTCCTTTCAATCACTTTCAGATGTACATGTGAAATTAAACTTCACAGTGATGTCTGTTAGAACCAAGAAATTAGAAGTCTTTATCCTACATGATTTATGTTGTGAAGTGCTCAGTTAGTTTGTTCCGATTTAATGATTTGTTTATATTTAATATCTACTCATTATTTTAATTTACAGTGCAAGGTTGATTGAGGTTCAACCTAAAAATGAGTTTGCTGTTTTTGACTGTCATTTCTCAAGTCCAGTACTCGAACCGAGATGGAAATTATTCGTCTTGTCACGAATGGTGGATGAAAGGAAAAACATCTTTGTCGAGGAAACAAATATCGGACTTGTCCTTACACCTTCGAATTTACGCTCCAATGTTTTACAGAGACTCTACAATGAGCTAGCGAGGTAGCCCTTTCTACATCACTGCTGACTTCAGTTTCGAAGCTCAATAAAACTTTGCATTTTATAAAAATATCGAGTTTTGAACGAAACTCGTCAGAATCTTATTTTAAGCGGCCTCGGGAGATTACAAACTTTATATAACCTCTTGACGGTCTTAAGTCAAGTCTACCACAACTAAAATAACGAAGTTTCGATCAGCTTGTGGAATCATTGTCAAATCCATTAAAAACTATTAGTAATCTGATACTTGAAACCAAGGGTAATTGCTTTGAAAGCAAGAGATTCTATTGTTTGTAAAAATTGAGATTAACAAAAGGAACTTTATAGCATCCATGTCAAGATTAATCCAGTTTTTTTAAATCATTTCTTGTGCGCCATACCGATTCCATCAGGTTGTCAACGTCATTTTGGCTTTAGCATATATTAAAAAATGCGAGTGCCTGGGTTAGTGATGGCCTCTCTTCATAAAAATAGATGAAAAGTTCCGATTGTGCTATAATTCATTAGGACATGAACACTTAGAAGCGACAATGGCACGCATGTACCACCTACATCGGGTATCACCCCTCCCCAATGTTTTAAATTAGCGAAGAGCGAGGTTATGTATCTGTTAAATACTTGGCGCTTTAAGGATCATGAAAGTAAATGTGGAGAACACAGCAAGTGTAACAAATATAACCTGATGATAAAACATCCGCCATTTCTCGCAGATCAATTTCTGGACACAAAGTTCAAAGTTATTTTCCTTTCCATGGTTAAAAGACCTGATCAGTGGAGGATGATCAAAGAGCTTGAGAACGTTCTCATCCTATATTGTTAAGAGTCGAGGAGAAGCAATGAAGTCACAGAAGCACATACAGTTAGGTAGAAATTTGTTTATAGCGAGATAGATGCTGAGTGAAATCGCTATGCTAATTCTCGACGGGAACCTCATGGGAAAGTTTTCATCAAACGCGAGGAGAAGGCCACAGGATAAACATGTTTGAGGAGAAGAAAAAATATCATTTGATTTTTCCTCAATTATTTGAGATGTACATATGATATTAAACCTCACAATGATGTCTGTAGGAACCAAGAAATTAGAAGTCTTTATTTTATATGATTTATGTTATGAAGTGTTCAGTTGATTCATTCCGATTTAATGATTTGTTTATATTTAGTGTCTCCTTATTATTTTGATTTACAGTACAAGGTTGCTTGAGGTTTAGTCCTAACAACGAGTTTCCCGTTTTTTAACCGTCATTTCCCGCTGCTGCAGGATTCTTCGCCCTTGAATATCGTTTCTCAAAGTAGTCGTCTTGCGCACTTTTTTACTAGGTCCTTGTTATTGTTTGGACTTGTCTCATTATTTTGAAGCCCATATGCAAGACTCGTGATTTAACGTAAGGCTGTGCAAGTAGCTTTTACCCTCAAGTAGTTTGTCCTTGCTTATCAAAGTTTCCCATGAATGGGTCTATGCATTTCATTGGATCTCCATTTAAGTGTTTGCTCTTGTATTTCATCGCATGCATTAAGAACGTTAATTTTTAATCGTGAGATTCTCGTGGAAAGTTTTGAGTTGGTTTTCTGATCCGAAATGTTTCAGTTAAATCATCCAAGATCAGTTGGCCCGTGTGCCCATTCATGTCTGCCAATAGACACCTTCCCCCCTCCCTTGAAGAAACGCACAGATTAAAGAGCATTTTTAGTTGTAAGCAGGACTTGCATGTACCACAGGTTCAGTTTTGAGTGTCACATCGAAAAGGCTTTTTTTTACTTCACTTAACATCTGCATCTTTTGTGTAGGCAAAATCTGCGAGTTTATCGACAGCTAAGCAAATTGTGCCACTCACATATATTTCCTAGAGCCAGAAGTTTATCATTGTAAACGAAACGATTCTTGTTTTGCATTGGTGTTTTACCATTTGTTATTGGAACTGTTTACAAGGCTCGCTCTCTCTATCTTCCCTCAGGAAAAGTGAGGAAAAGGTCACAGGGTTGCTTAAAGGAGATTTCTGTACCTGAAGAAAGGTATAATGATTATAAACACCCTTTTTATAATTGTTCCATGTCTTTCAAGCAGTTACACAAAGTGATTCCTCATTCTTTTGGTCTCTTGGTTGCCTAATTGCCAGTAGATCAGTGTTTTGTGTATTTAGTTGTTCATACATTTGTTGTTCTACATACTTATTACGTCCATATCGCTCTTTTTGTATGTTTTCTGTGTAGAACAAGCCATCCCGTATCAAGAGAAGCGACTGACGTGCGCACGCCTAAAAATTCCGTCGGCTCTAAAACCCGAGTTATCCCCTAGTTCCTCGGCCAGCTCCGGGTTGGTTGGTAAAGGAAAGCCCGGTAAGCAAGATTTTACAGGCTTGTGAATGGTTTGATTCGCTTTTTCGACTGTTCTTGAAACAATACATTAAAATTATGGGAAGAAGTTACATGAGAATTACTTCTTGAAGTTTAAGGGTTAT